ATCGTCAGACTGAAAAAACACAGAGAAACAAACAAGGAACCATCGTCAGACTGCAAAAAACACAGAGATACAAACAAGGTACCATCGTCAGATTGAAAAAACACACAGAAACAAACAAAGAAACATCGTCAGACTGAAAAAACACAGAGAAACAAACAAGGAACCATCGTCAGACTGCAAAAAACACAGAGATACAAACACAAAACCATCGTCAGACTGCAAAAACATAGAGAAACAAACAAGGTACCATCGTCAGATTGAAAAAACACACAGAAACAAACAAAGAAACATCGTCAGACTGAAAAAACACAGAGAAACAAACAAGGAACCATCGTCAGACTGCAAAAAACACAGAGATACAAACATCGTCAGACTGCAAAAACACAGACAAACAAACAAAGAACCGTCGTCAGACTGCAAAAACACAGAGAAACAAACAAAGTACCATCGTCAGACTGCAAAAACACACAGAAACAAACAAAGAACCATCGTCAGACTGCAAAAACACAGAGAAACAAACAAGGAACCATCGTCAGACTGCAAAAAACACAGAGATACAAACACAAAACCATCGTCAGACTGCAAAAACACAGAGAAACAAACACAAAACCATCGTCAGACTGCAAAAACACAGAGAAACAAACAAGGTACCATCGTCAGATTGAAAAAACACAGAGAAACAAACAAGGTACCATCGTCAGATTGAAAAAACACACAGAAACAAACAAAGAAACATCGTCAGACTGAAAAAACACAGAGAAACAAACAAGGAACCATCGTCAGACTGCAAAAACACAGAGAAACAAACAAGGTACCATCGACAGACTGCAAAAACACAGAGAAACAAACAAGGTACCATCGACAGACTGCAAAAACACAGAGAAACAAACAAGGTACCATCGACAGACTGCAAAAACACAGAGAAACAAACAAAGAAACATCGTCAGACTGCAAAAACACAGAGAAACAAACAAAGAACCATCGACAGACTGCAAAAACACAGAGAAACAAACAAAGAACCATCGACAGACAGCAAAAACACAGAGAAACAAACAAAGAACCATCGACAGACAGCAAAAACACAGAGAAACAAACAAGGTACCATCGACAGACTGCAAAAACATAAATCAACAAACAAAGAACCATCGACAGACCGCAAAATCATAATGATGATTTGACAACGGACGCGATAACTCGGCAAACGGTGAAATTACAGCCATTCTACAATATACCAGTGTTAATGTTGCTGAAGCGATTTAATTAGTGACCAATATAATAAGTAAGCTAGAGGTATGAATTATATCATATGTAACAGAACACACAAAAAAAAAACTTGTTCCTGTCGAGTGCCCCGTCATGAATCGAACCCGGGTCTCTGGTGTGATAAACTGCGGCTATGCCAACTAAGCATGCTCTATCTTCTGAGTGACAGGCAGTATTTAACATAGACAACACCAACCCTCTTCTTTGACACTACTTCCCCATTTAACCTTGAGGTCTCTTAAATCTCAACTCCAAATTCATAGACAGCACATTGTGAAAGAAAAGAGAAAACACATTCTTGCCTAGTGCCTCAACAGTAAATTAATCCGGATCTCTCACGTGGTAAAGAAACATGCCCTGACAGGCGCGTGAGAGACAACGTATTTAATACTAAGTACAAGCCATGCCTATTCGGTTCTTTTACAAAATTATATTTTTTGCTCAATAACATACTAAGGACACGGCAGATTCTACATTAACCGCTTATTTCGATCTTTTCCTCCAACGAAACCAACATGGACAGCTTTCCACCAAGCTGTATGTTGAACGTGAGGATTTCAATTTCCCTATCGTGAAATTTTCCATTTCTGGATAACAACATGCCTGCATCTCCAACCTATAATGTTCACATGCTGCAGTTGATTCGATATTAAATATCCTGCTTCTATCATCATGATTTTCGTGCAAGAAGCCGACAACTGAAGTACATGCAGGTTTATGAAAATTATAGGGAAGTTTTACGGCCATCATAGTGATTTCAATGAGGAAAAAATCCATTTCTTTGTGCGATATGAAGCTGTTTGATGCTCGTAAGGTTGCCTGTTGGTTCGATTGCTGTATACTTTGTTCTCATTAAAGAAAGTGACATTACTTATTTGGATTAACCAAGGTTTACATGACGGTTGATGTCGATGATTCAGAAGGCGCTCACTCTTCCGCAACACCTGGTCTAAATATCTTTTTACTTTTTCAGGAAATGGAAATGATTTTATGCTGTAAAATCATGATATATCATCTGTAAAATTGTCGTTTTTATAGTATCAACGACCCCTACTGATCCTGACACATATTGAACATGACGCCATAAACAGTGGTATATCAAGAATAGGTATATGAATTCCGCTTCCCTTTGAATGTTATGTACATCACAACTCCTTTGCCCCGATCGACACATATCTTCGGAAAAAAAAGAACTATTGTGTTTTAGTCATCTAAATGTGGACGAATAAGAAACCTACGGTATATCAGATTTATGCTTGCTTTATGTTTGATTCGTATGTTTATGACCATTTACCTGTTTTCTCGTCTCACATTAGGGTTGAGAAGGAGGAGGGACTCTTCGAATCTCGTATTTGCCGGACTAATAATCTTTCCCTTCGGGTTGAGACGCCCCTATTTTACAGGTGAACGATTCGCATTAAGTACTTACTACTAACTATTAACCATATAACAAGGGATAGGGAAGACAGATAACACACGCTATGAAGCCGCTGACAAAGGGATAACGTCATCCGTTTATGTAAAGTTACAACAACGTACAATTCGTCACTGTACATGTATGAGAAAACAATCAAAAATGTGATCAGACAAAGATTCTATAGGCATCATCTCTGGATTAAGAGTCCCTTTCCATGATAATCACGTGACGTCATGATGCTAGGCAGTGAGATAACGAAACAGGGCAAACAGGGCGAGATGGAGAATTGAATTTCAATCCTTGGTTAAAAATTATCGTGTTTACCAGTATAATAACTTCCCTCCTGGGGTTGTGTATCCTCACTTTTCTGAGATTAACTTGTCTTACCCGGGGCTTACACTAGGGAGTTCTCAAAACATGTCTATGACGTCATGACAACGACAAGCGGACAACAAAACGAAACATTTGAAAAGGCTAGAGGATCATGAGAAAGATAACCATTTATTCCTTGTAGGTGAGAAAGGAGGATCTCGGCCCCCAGGAAATTTTTTATTAAGTTTTTATTCATCCTTTCCTTCTAGTTGAGATCCTTCTACCTCATCTCACTAGGGTTAAGGTATTTTTGTACTATCACGACCCAAGGTCTTAAAGATTCTTTTAATATCATTCCCAAAGAGGACAAAGATTCTTGTAACATTACTCCTAAATAGGATAAATATCCTGGACATATCTCTCTCAAAGTGGATAAAGATCCTAGTTATATCACTCTCGAAAGGGATAATTGTTCTTTTGGTGTTACTTTGGCCGCCATTAATGATCTTCATGTCTGAGGGAAAGAACATACATAGTTAACAAATACTATTTACTATGGTCGTTAAATGCACCATACCAAAATGTTGTTTATATGACACCCGACAACACTAGATATTAGTACATATGCTTTCCCATAGTCTAAAGAGGACAGCATTGTCATGCATGCTGTTAACACGATTTCGAAGACACCTGGTAGTATGGAATAAATAGTTGAAGGCGATGCTGAATGCACATAACGTTACGATATAAGCCCCTCTACTATGTCAACACCACACGCTGTGCAGTAAATGGAAACTTACCCAGGAATATAACCTCCCATACAGGAACAAACCTTAAGCTGTCTCGATTGTTTTACATAACTAAATTGGTGTGGTAATTGCCATTCTGTAAATCCTTTATTACCCTTATCTTGCCTATAACAAACATAAATGATCTGTGTGCCACCATTAAGACACTGGTCTAATGGAACTTAGCCTTATATGATAATTTGTTAATAAATCCAGTGCATTGAAATATCTCAAACAAAGGCTTTTCTCGCATATTAATTACATGTGTAATTTTATTTAACCAACATCCGCAGTGGTATTAAATAGGCTAATATGTACATGCTGTTTTGTCGGTACACTTAGAGAAATCGAATTTTTGCTGTTGAGTAAAACGCCATATACCTAGTATAGCCATACTACAATTGAAACGCTTTTGAAAAGAATGCAGTTGTTAAAAGAAGAGATAAGAAATTACTTTATCAGTAATTGAAACTCCGCCCCTCTTAACTTCTGTCTGTATCATTACTTCATCGGTAATTGAAACTGCCCCGCTAAACTTCCGACTGTGACATAACTTCATCAATACTTGTGACTCTGTCCTACTAAACTACTTTCTGCAAAAATCCTTCATCAATTTTTAAATTTTCCCTACTAATCTTCTCTCTGTGAAAATAATTCATCAGTAATTCCAATACAAATTCCATTTAACTGCCGTTTATAACATTACTTAACGATACTACAAGTCTGATAACGTGTAAACGTCAACTACGGTCTGTAGCAGATCTCGAGTGCCGCAGCCTAGCGCTGCTCTTCAATGAGTGGGAATTGGTACATTATACAGAATAGACCACTATACCATGTATGTTAACAATGACAATCAGATGTCATTTAACCGGAAACAGTTCTTCAGTGAAGAAAAATCTCTCTCAACCTTTATATAGAGATCAGTGACTGGTTAACCGAGATTAACATTACCTCCCTTATCATTCTCTCCCAAATGATTTAAACAGTTTTAGTAATTAAAAAGCTACGCTCGTTTTCGGCTTTGCCTTATATATTCATTAATTGGCAGTTTGATTCCACCAATATTTGCAACGTTATACAAGTTCTTCAAAGATGGCTGAATTGTAGCTAGTTATGGTGAAGTGTCATTGTCTGTCCTTGTCGGCTATTATGTAAATGATGTAAACCTTTGAATCACTTTATCCTTATATTAAGTTCTTTGTTTTTGTTTTTCTTTGATGCGACCCCCATCAACCCTTTATATGATTTTTACATTTGATCCCCCTGACCAGTTTGATTTTACATTTGATCCCCCTGACCAGTTTGATTTTACATTTGACCCCCCTGACCAGTTTGATGTTACATGTGATCCCCCTGACCAGTTTGATTTTACATTTGATCCTCCTGACCAGTTTGATTTTACATTTGATCCGCCTGACAAGTTTGATTTTACATGTGATCCTCCTGACCAGTTTGATTTTACATTTGATCCCCCTGACCAGTTTGATTTTACATTTGACCCCCCTGACCAGTTTGATGTTACATGTGATCCTCCTGACCAGTTTGATTTTGCATTTGATCCCCCTGACCAGTTTGATGTTACATGTGATCCTCCTGACCAGTTTGATTTTGCATTTGATCCCCCTGACCAGTTTGATTTTACATTTGATCCCCCTGACCAGTTTGATGTTACATGTGATCCTCCTGACCAGTTTGATTTTGCATTTGATCCCCCTGACCAGTTTGATGTTACATGTGATCCCCCTGACCAGTTTGATTTTACATTTGATCCTCCTGACCAGTTTGATTTTACATTTGATCCACCTGACAAGTTTGATTTTACATTTGATCCGCCTGACCAGTCTGATTTTACATGTGATGACCCTGACCAGTTTGATTTTACATTTGATCCCCCTGACCAGTTTGATGTTACATGTGATCCTCCTGACCAGTTTGATTTTACATTTGATCCCCCTGACCAGTTTGATGTTACATGTGATCCTCCTGACCAGTTTGATTTTACATTTGATCCCCCTGACCAGTTTGATTTTACATTTGATCCCCCTGACCAGTTTGATTTTACATTTGATCCCCCTGACCAGTTTGATGTTACATGTGATGACCCTGACCAGTTTGATTTTACATTTGATCCCCCTGACCAGTTTGATTTTACATTTGATCCCCCTGACCAGTTTGATTTTACATTTGATCCTCCTGACCAGTTTGATTTTACATTTGATCCTCCTGACCAGTTTGATTCTACATTTGATCCGCCTGACCAGTTTGATTTTACATTTGATCCCCCTGACCAGTTTGATTTTACATTTGATCCCCCTGACCAGTTTGATGTTACATGTGATGACCCTGACCAGTCTGATTTTACATGTGATGACCCTGATCAGTTTGATTTTACACTTGATCCCCCTGACAAGTTTGATGTTACATGTGATCCTCCTGACCAGTTTGATTTTACATTTGATCCCCCTGACCAGTTTGATGTTACATGTGATGACCCTGACCAGTCTGATTTTACATGTGATGACCCTGATCAGTTTGATTTTACACTTGATCCCCCTGACCAGTTTGATGATGCTTGTACCTTGAAATGTGTGGTCCAAATCACATTTAGAAAAATACATTTTTAAATCTATCACAGACATGAGTCGATGAATACACCCTTTTTGTCCATTTTCTGAAACAATAAGGTTCAAATAAAATGTAACCATACATGCTGAAATATTACAATTTTAACAGTTGAAAACTGCCAAAGTGAATACTTCTAAATTATACGTCGCCTCTTTACCCAAATACGTCATATCACACCAGCCTAATAATGCAAAACGGATGAGTGAAAATCCTTTCTTCTGTGTTGAATAAACGTCTGTATCAGCAAAAGCTGTTATAGCTGGAAAAATGAAGATATTTGTGATAAACGTGATCTCAGCAGGTACCTATCATTAAGATCTATTTACCAAACAATGGCCACTGGGATGGATCGCTTTAACAGATTTATAAAACAATGGGTGAAACAATGGCTCGTGGATTAATGTGCTGAACTACAGCAATATCTAGGCGAGATAATCACAGATTCTAGTGGTGAGTGGATTAAAGGTCTTACCTTGGACGAAGAATTCAGAGAATGAGTCTGACTTCAAAGAATGCACCAGGTCTGTGACGGAGATAAGAAACATATGATTACAGATACGATAGGAAATTAATTTTTTCGTTTATAAATAGCCTAGTTAATGGTCTTTATATCAGGCGGGAGGGCCAAAAATGTTCAAGTGTTGTTCAAAAGTATGTAGTGTATGATGTTGTTACAGCGGGTCATTAATCAGCTCTGACGGGATTTTCTAAATCTCACTTAGTCATAATCCAAGTACATTTGTACTTGTGCCATCAGACAATGAAATTAGAAAACGGTGTATTAAATTAATCAATGTAGAGAGGGGTAAGGTGGTGATTATGGACGGAAGAAAGAAATCTATAATTAACTAAGGATTTCTGAAATAAGATGTATTAATTTGGTATAATCTTTCCTATGTTGTATGATAAAAAACATTCATTTATGCAACGAGTGTAAACATTTTCCGTTATAAAGAAATCAAAATATTTAATAGACAGCTACATGTGATCAATCGCCAAGAGCAACTTCGATACCCGGGAGAGGAACGCGTTCATAGTTTTGAACTAAGCTGCAGATTTTCTCTCATAAACTCCTCCAAATTCTAAATAAAGTGATCGATTTTGACTGGTCAACTATGTATTTTTTATATTACGTGGTAATATGTTCCAATAAAAGCGGAAAACAAAGGTCATTGTATTAAGATGGGGACACCAAACCTTGTACCTCCTTTTGTTGAAATCTTCGGTGGTATATGTTGTATAGCTATGTAGTCCTCCCGGTATAAAACTTATGATAGGCTTGTAGTAAACAAGACTTCCGTGGTAACGTTTCATCAGTATAATCGATATCATGTTATTAAAACATGGTAGTCTTATATTGTCTTTTATAGCGACCATAGATACTGATTGAAGTAGACTTACATCATACTAAGGCATTCATTACCGACAGTATTAGTCTTCAACCATTTTGACAGTCATCCGCAGACATCTCTGTGACAAAAACAATGACGTCATTATAATAACAGGATGATGCATGTATTCACGGTAGATATTCAAATTACACTTGCTTCCGGTTGATATATATAGTGACATTACAAATTATTTCACTTTTGCTAGTGATATTAAGGGTTTTGTCCATTTGATATAAAGAGGATATCCACTGGTTTCCCTTATACTCTCTAACATGTCAAGTTTGTGAAATCACGTCCTGGAAGTTCGTTATATTGACGTCACTCTGGAAAACAAGACGCAACGTCATTTAAAAGGACATATAATTTAATGATTTCCCGTTAAATACCATCTATATATTTTACTCGTATGACAGGATGTATCTATATTTTCTATGTACAATGATACAAATATTAAACAGCAAACCATTAAATATCTTCTATTGCTTATCGAATTGGACTTAATTCACTATTACAATACACTCTTTCAAGATCTATCCTTTACCTTTATGTATTATCCTATCCATATTTACTGATTTTAATATACCTTTTATCAAAATATAGGTCATGTACGTGTCACACCTGTCATGTCAGAATTTCTTACCGACTATTCCACAATTGACATGTAGTGTAAATATTTCAAATGGTTATAGGCGCGACCTAATTCCCAGTAATCGATTCCATCAACATGCTGACGATCTGTAGTGCCAGCTCGTTGTTTTAGACGTTTGCTTGTAGAACATCATATGGTAAATACTGATCGCTGTGTAACTTTACAAATACTTAATCTACGTTATTACAGAGTAAACATTAGCTACCTTATCTAGTAGTGTGGACATAAAATCGCCTAGTACGTGTCTACATTAGTAACATTAAATTTGCTGATCTGAATGCAACTGATGATTAGGGCGCCCATAGTGATATTGATAATTTTCTGATTGTTTGTCATCCGTCCTTTCTTCTCACCGTTCCAGCAGTTAAGACGACATAAATACGACTGAAGTGACATTTATCCAACTATATAGATGAACTATCACATCTGTTCATATGTTGAAGTCAATTACACAAGCACGAGAACGGCCATTGCACGGTGTCTAAACTGATGCTTTGTGTCAGGTATTTCTTTGAACCGCCTTTTCATATAGTAAATTGTAAGAATATAGCTTTAAAGTCTGGCAATTATACCTAGAAATAACAAACAATACTGTGATAGTAAAATCTGTAGACCCGACATTCTGGGTTAGGTAGAATCTCTGGGATGTATGTTTCATGAAGGTGAAAATTCCATATATTTACCGGTGTATGGCATTGCCACTGTATAACCCTTCAAAAGTTAGTTGTCGCACTGCATGGAATTTGTCTTAAAATTGTTGGCATTCATAGAATACAGGTATCAGATTTGTAGTATCGTTAGAATACAGGTGTCAGATTTGTAGTATCGTTAGAATACAGGTGTCAGATTTGTAGTATCGTTAAAATACATGTGTCAGATTTGTAGCATCATTAGAATACAGGTATCAGATTTGTAGTATCGTTAGAATACAGGTATCAGAATTGTAGTATTGTTAGAATACAGGTATCAGATTTGTAGTATCGTTAGAATACAGGTATCAGAATTGTAGTATTGTTAGAATACAGGTATCAGATTTGTAGTATCGTTAGAATAAAGGTGTCAGATTTGTTGTATCGTTAAAATACAGGTGTCAGATTTGTTGTATCGTTAAAATACAGGTATCAGATTTGTAGTATCGTTAGAATACAGGTATCAGATTTGTAGTATCGTTAGAATACAGGTATCAGAATTGTAGTATTGTTAGAATACAGGTATCAGATTTGTAGTATCGTTAGAATAAAGGTGTCAGATTTGTTGTATCGTTAAAATACAGGTGTCAGATTTGTTGTATCGTTAAAATACAGGTATCAGATTTGTAGTATCGTTAGAATAAAGGTGTCAGATTTGTTGTATCGTTAAAATACAGGTGTCAGATTTGTAGTATCGTTAGAATACAGGTGTCAGATTTGTATTATCGTTAGAACACAGATGTTAGATTTGTAATATCTTTAGAATACAGGTGTTAGATTTGTAGTATCATTAGAATACAGGTGTTAGATTTGTAGCATTTTAGAATACAATTGTTATAACTGTAACATCGTTAGAATACAGTAGATAGAACTATAGCATCTTTATAACATAGGTGTTCTAGTATCTATAGAATACATTAAGGTAATAAGATATTAGAATAAGGATACTTACGTCGTGGGAATGTGATAACAAGATAATTAAGGACAGAAATATGGTTGAAATGAAACATTTTGATGGTAGTGGATGTAGCACATAAACCCAAGGAGCTACAGTAAGCATGTTTTTAATGAATCCAAACAGCTTAACATAATTGAACTTAACAACAAATGCATATTACTGACGAGATGTCAAAAATTGGCTTAACCATGCAGTCAGGAAAATGACAATTCACGAATACCAATTTGATTATTTAAATAAATAATGATGTATTTGAATTGGTGACCTGTTCTGTTCATGTGTTTGTCCCCTTTCTACTTACAATGAACCTTTTCAATTCAGAAATTCGGCGGTGTATATATTTTGGGCCACTTAAAATAATTTTCGTTTTCTTTTAACAAAAATGGTAGACTATTGTGTAACCTGATCAACAATAACCAGCTTTTTGCCATCAGGATAATGAGAAAAAGATTAGTTTTAAATACCATTTACAGTTCAGGGACAGTGAGTCTGGCTGCTGTAATTAATTTAATATCCGCGGAGCATACACACAGTGGGGGAAACAGACGGTTGATGTATTGTGTCGAATGCCAGATCTTCACGAGGGTAAAACGTACGACTTTCTTTCACTGAAGGAAATCAAACAAAGGATATCTCTAGATAATGGTGTATGTTTGTCGAGTTGTAATATCTACATTTAATTCAATAGTATATGTTTTGATATATTTGTTATAAGAAATCGATAAATGTCAGGAAAATTAGCTGAGTGGTTAGTTTACAATACCAGAGGTATGACAGGCGGTATAATGGCTGGTACATATAATACATACAATATTGTATTAAATTCTACCAGACTCTCACCAGTGGTGTTGCATTGAAAAATACTTAACTGTCGATAGAAATCAGAAACTTTTAAAACTTGAATATGGAATATTGGTGTCTTCTTATACAGAAATAATCAATTTAGTGGCAATACTGACGATTAATAAATGTTTTGATATATGAAATGGTAAGTAAATCTCATACGTAGCCATTGTTAAATTTATAATCAAATATGATAAACCAGTAAATGTGACCACTTTTACGGTTGTTTTATGTCCTATGAAAGCTGTATTTTTATAAAGAAGCAAGCGCTGAAAACATTCCTTATTCCCATGCCTGAACAGTAAAACAGGTCATAGTCCAACACAAATCTTTTTGTTAAGTTTTTGTCTGATTATCAGACGACTTTGCTAGAAAAGTCACCATGATATTGATATTTTCAATACTTTCAATACAATAACCATATCCAAAGTAAATGAACGCTTATCTCGATCTTTTCCAACAACGAAAC